GTGTGTGTGTGTGTGTGTGTGTGTGTGTGTGTGTGTGTGTGTGTGTGCGCGCTCACGCACGGGCGCTCAATTCCTAAACCTCCTCCCTCAACCTCCCAAATACTGAAAGTACAGAAGTGTGCCACCCATGCCTGGTTACCTTTTGCATTTTTATTTACGAATTCAGCAGAATGATTTTAAGTGTACAGAACAGCACGACAGTACAAATACAGGGACAGAGACAATAAAGAGAATGGTGCAGTGTGGCTGAAGTCCCAGGCACATGGGGGGGGGGCGGTCACAGGAGACACTGACGGGAAAGGGACCAGAAAGTTCCAGAGAGACTGGCTTTTGAATGACCCCAATGTGTCACAGAAGAATATGATGTCATCCAAAAACTCACATTCAACAACTAAAGAGGCAGTGTCACTTCTATAGCATCGCATGGAAACAGTACCACAGTCCTAACGCCTGTCTCTCCGAGGGCGTGCTGTTAATTCTGACCACATCTGGAGCCTCACAGAGTAAAGAACTATATTTTCTAAAACACAAATGTTTACATTTAAAGATAATTATTGGCAATACTTAAACATTAAATACTTTCCTAGAAAAAGTTCCAATATAGTGATTTACAAGAATTAAATCTGAGACAAAATAAGATAATAATAAATATAGCAAGAACAAATCCATGGTTTATCATCTTGTTATAAAAAATGTGTTAATTTAAGTAAGATTTTTAACTTATGTTTGGACAATAAGAACATTAAAATACTAGTCAGCTAAACTATAGATACAAATGATAAAAGTAAATTAGCAATTTTAAATAAAAACTTTTTTTTTTCTCGAGACAGGGTTTCTCTGTAGCTTTGGGGGTCTGTCCTGGAACTAGCTCTTGTACACCAGGCTGACCTCGAACTCACAGAGATCTGCCTGCCCTCTACCTCCCGAGTGCTGGGATTAAAAGCATGTGCCATCACCACCCAGCATAAAAACATTTTTAATCAGTTTGACATTCAGCTCTGGAAAAAAAAAGAATTCAAATGATATATGCGTTTGCAAATCACTTTTATAAAAGTTTAGGCATTAAGGAATAAAAGATTGTAGAAAGATACTTTGGAACAAGTAGGACGTTTGAAGATGGAATGGACCCATTTCAGCGTGGGGGTTATCATAACAGTGGCTGAGCCTAGACAAGCTGCTTTCCTTTGGCAGAACATACTCATGTATTATGGGAACAATGATATAATGTCTGCGATCTGCTCTTAAAATACTGCACTCAAACAAAGGAAGCGATGGAACAGGCTGCCAGAGGATGATACTGCTCAGGGACAATCGGTGTGGGGGTTGGTCGGTGAGCCTACGTCCGTGTATGTTTAAACTAAACAGGCCTTCTTGAGGGTAAATAATGTCCTCAAAAGCAGGCCATATGATAGCCTT